AGCCCTGGCCAGTTTGACTCAGCAGTTGGAGCATCGGCCTGCAGTCCAGAGAGACCTGGATACGGTCTTTGCTAAGGACATGTGCCTCGGTTGCAGTTTGTCCCCGGCCCCGGTTGGGATAGTGTGTGTGGCGGCCAGTCGATGTGTGTCTCTCACATCAATGTTTTTCTCTATATATTCCTCCATCTTTCCCTCCCGCTCTATCTGAAGATGAATGCAAAAATGTCCTCTGGTGAGGATAAAAAAAAAGTGGAGTAGGAGGGAGAGAGAGAGAAAAACATCGATGTGAGACAGACACATCGACTGGCCGCCACACACACGATCCTAACCAGGGCCGGGGACAAACTGCAACCAAGGCACGTGCCCTCAGCGGGAACCGAACCTGGGACTCCCTGGTCCAAGGGCCAATGTTCTAACCACTGAGCAAAACTGGCCAGGGCCCTCCCACTCTATCTTAAGATAAATGCAAAAATGTCTTCCGGTGAGGATAAAAAAAAAAAAGAATTCAAAAACAAAACAAAAAACCAACTACAGGAGAACAGAGAAAAATTAACAAGAGGAAACAGCATGTTAAAAAAAAATAGAGGGAATTATAGATGACCATCTAGAACTCCTTAGGCTATAAATGTATCTAAATTATTTGCATTTGCTCCACTTCCTAGGTTACTCCCTTAATAAGGGAAATAAGATTGATTTTGAATGAAGAATGCTTAATAGGTGGACATTGCTTTTATACATTGTTACATCTAATCCCCACTGTAACTATGGATGCTAGATATTATATTATTTCATAGCTATGGAAATAGAGGTTCAGAAAAGTTAAGAAACCCACCCAAGGTCAGCCAGCTAATATATAGGACCTACCCCACAGAGTTGTTGTATTAAATTAGTTAATATTTGCTCAGTGCTTAGAGCAGTGTACATAGTACAGTGATACCTCGGTTCTCGAACATAATTCGTTCCAGGAGGACGGTCGAGAACCGAATTGTTCGAGAACCGAAGCAATGAAACCAATAGGAAAGCGTGACTCCACAAAGCGTGACTCTCTCTCTGCACGCACACTGATGACGCAAGCAAGGCGCGCTGGGCCGAATGAACGCCATTCGGCTCAACTCGGCTCATCTCGGAAGTTCGAGTTCCAAATATTTGTTCGGATTCTGAGACAAAAGTTTCTCGAATCTCCTGGTCGAATACCGATTTGGTCGAAAACCGAGGCGTTCGAGAACCGAGGTATCACTGTACATGCTATATAAGTATTAAGTATTGCCCTGGCCAGTTTGGCTCAGTGGTTGAGCGTCGGCCTGCGGACCAGAGAGTCCTGGGTTCGGTTCCTGCTAGGGGCACATACCACAAAAAAAATAAAATAAGTATTAAGTATTAATAGAAAGTACCAAGTCCAAGATGCAAATTCAGATTTGTATGAGTTCAAAGTCACATGGTTTGAATTACACCACACTGCCTATGGGTTCATTTCAGCAAGGGTGGGAGAAGGGTAGAAAAGTTCAATTCCTCATTATATCAGCCTACTGTTACTTAGATTTAGTTCCTAATTCCCATTTTCCCTCAAAAGAAATATGCTATTCAGTCCCTTGCTCTTCTCTATCACCAAAAGCCAGGGAATCCTGTTTAGATTTTTTTTTTTTTAAAGCAACAACTTCTATGCCATTCAAGGGACCTTCTCATAAATTGGTTTCATTTACATCATCAGGAGAAGTTCTGATGGAAATCCCAATCTTAATGTCCTACAGGAAAAATTCACCTTGGTATACTCTTGCCACAAAAGCAAAATCATCTGAGTACTGCAAGAGAAGATGGTAGGGTTGGTTCAGTGAGTTATTTTCCCATCACCCACATGCTGCTCTCCCAGAGGAACTCCACAGCACCCCCAAAACCCTAGCCCCTAGAAACAAAAGGAAAAATAGTGGGTGGACCTGTGATTGCAGAAGAAATTTCCTGATTCAATCAGATAGAAAGATTTGTTATATGTTTTTTAAAAATATTTTTTCTTTATTGATTTTAGAGAGAGAGGAAGGGAGAGGAAGAGATAGAAACATCAATTGGCCGCCTCCTGCATGCCCCCCACTGGGGATCAGGCCCACAACCTGGGCATGTGTCCTGACTGGGAATCGAACCAGTGACTTCTTGGTGCATGGGTTGATGCTCAACCAGTGAGCCACACCAGCCGAGCTGGTTATGTTTTTTTATTATTTATTTATTTATTTATTTATTTATTTATTTTTTATCCTCACCCGAGGACATTTTTCCATTCTTTGTTCAGCTAGAGCGGGAGGGAGAGAGAGGAAGAGAGAGAGAGAGAAACATCGATGCGAAGGGACACATCGAGTGGCTGCCACCCGCACGACCAAGAGCTGGTTATGTTTTTTGAAATTATTGACCTTTTTGAATTGATACAATATTCGCCTGGTTCAAATTTTTAAAAGCATGAAGTAAAAAATCTTCTACCTCTGCCCTGGCCGGTTTGGTTCAGCCATTGGAGCGTTGGCCTGCGGACCAGAGAGTCCTGGGTTTGGTTCCCGCTAGGGGCACATACAAAAAAAAAATCTTCCTCTGTCCTCTAATAGTTCTCACCTTTGCACCCTCCCATCAACCACTGCTTTTCCTGAGCATCCTTTCAGCGTGTCTTTATGCAAATGTAAAGAAATGTGAATATGCTCTTTGTCTTCTCTTTACACGAAAGCAGAATACAGCATTAACTGCTTTTTGTTTTGCTTTTTATTTATTTTTTTTAATCTTCACCGGAGGACATTTTTTCATTTTTTGTTCAGATAGAGTGGGAGGGAGAGAGAGAGAGAAACATCGACGTGGAAGGGACACGTGGAGTGGCTGCCACCCGCTCGACCAATCAGGGCCGGGGACAAACTGCAACTGAGGTACATGCCCTTAGCGGGAACCGAACCCAGGTCTCTCTGGACCGCAGGCCGACACTCTAACCGCTGAGCCAAACTGGCCAGGGCTTGCTTTTTATTTTTAATTTAGCAATAAGATTTTGGAGATCTTTCCATATCAATACATAGAGAGAGTCTCATTTGTTCTTGTATCCATACACTATTTTATTTACTAGCTCTGCTGTAATTAATCTGATGTCTCCTTTAGGTCAACATTTAAGTTGTTTCTAATCTTTTGTCATTACAGACAATACTATAATGAATCAATTAGATGAATAAGCTTTAATTTACTGAATGTTTTCAGCAATGTATTACTGCTACTTTCAGCAGAAGTAACTTTCCTATAGGGCATTTTCAAATACAAACCCCATAAACTCTGTTGGAACAAATAAACGAGACCTATTTATAATAATATTATCTGCAGAAAAGAATGTTTCGAAATCCTCAATTCCATGTTGTCCTTTGAGAATTTTGCTGCAAGTTTATTTACACTTATATTTAGGTTGGTGGGCAATTTTGCCCTGGAAAATACCAGCCTAGAACAGAGCTGATCATCATGAATTCTAAATCAGTAGCATTTGGATTAGAGGAGGTTTTTTTCACGCAATTTTCTAAACTGTTATTTTGAACTGTGTGGAGAGCTCCGCACTCCATGTGGGTTTGCAGCATGGTCAGCTTCAATGGGGATCCTCAGAGCAGCATTATTCCCCCTGAAATAAGGATTTAAAGTGCAGGGATTATTTTAAAAATCAGCTTATGTACAAATGCATTGCTTTTATGACTTTTTCCCTAACAAATTAGACTAAATGTCAGGCTAGATTTGAGGTGAATTTTTAAAAATAAGAAAAACACATGACGCAGTAGACATTTACTGCCAAGATCAAATGTCACAATGTAATATTTCTTTTTATTGTGAGGTATATGCTAACCCCCGGTAAACAGCCCACTTGCAAAGCCGTAGGAATGCCTATTGGTATGAAAGTAAATTCAAGAAATTGAAATCTGATGAAGACAAAATAATGTTCATGAAACAATAGCAACACCAAGGTGAAATAGTAAGAGTTAAATAGCATTTACTATGTGCCAGACATCATGCTGAGTACTTTACAAATGCTAACATATTGAAAGTTCACAAGAATCCTACAAGATAAAATAAACTATATCCAGTATTACCATCCCATTTTATAGGCAAAGGAATTGAGGCGTGAGGTGGTTAAATCCTGTACCCAGGGTCACACAGCTGGTAAGTGGAGTACACGATTCAGAATCTGGCTGCCTGGCTGTAGAGGTCGTGCATGTAACCAGCCACCACCCTGCCTCTTGCATGTAGTAAAGCCAAAAGGACTCCAGAGGAAGCAAACACTATAGTGGTCAAGGAGAGCTTCAGAGGAAGCAAAGATTCAGTATATGGAGAGGAGCACATTCCAGACCTCCCCACCTCTACTGTGAGCACCACAGGACAATCTTTCGTTTTGGTTTCTCTGGCCTTTTGCACAATAAATATCCTGAGAATAGAGAGCATTGCAGGAACAAAGTTATTAAGCAAGAATGTGCTTGGTATTTGAGGGTGGACAACGAGGAGACCTGTTTAACTATAATGATGCTGTCACATAGAGGAGGAGCAAGTGAGGACCAAATCACAAACACCCTAAGTGCCAGGCTAGGAATTAAGGCTGCATGGTCTGCAGCCCTGGTTCTCACACTCTGATGTTCGCTGAAGTCCCCTGCAGTCTGTCACATGCACATTCTGATTCAGTAGATCTGAAGTGGGCCCAGGAGTCCCCATTTGTAGGAAGCTTCCAGTGATGCCGATGTTGCTGATCTTGAGACCACACTTGGAGTAGCAAGACTCTAGGCAACAGCAGGAAACCATTGTTGGAGCAAGGGGTCTGCTGGGGGGATGGGGCGTGGTGGACAGAAGGTTGCATATGCCACCTCCCCTAAGTTGCAGCCAACCACTTAAAACTTACAGATGTACAATATTTTAATCTAATTTATAGACCCTTTCTTTATATATTCCACCCCTTCTTTCCAGATGCCAAGTAAGTACCTGAAGAAATGTTTTAAACCACACTTGTTGTTTCTTTCACACAGAGCAAGGCTAAGGAGCTGCCGCTTTCTGCTGTACGTTTCATGGAAGAATTGGGTGAATGTGCCTTTGGAAAGATCTATAAAGGTCATCTCTATCTCCCAGGCATGGACCATGCCCAGCTGGTTGCTATAAAGACCTTAAAAGAGTACAATAACCCCCAGCAATGGACAGAATTTCAACAGGAAGCCTCCCTGATGGCCGAACTCCATCACCCCAACATCGTCTGCCTTCTAGGTGCTGTCACTCAGGAACAACCTGTGTGTATGCTTTTTGAGTATATGAATCAGGGGGATCTCCACGAGTTCCTCATCATGCGGTCCCCACATTCTGATGTTGGCTGTAGCAGTGATGAAGACGGGACCGTCAAGTCCAGCCTGGATCATGGAGATTTCCTGCACATTGCAATTCAGATCGCAGCTGGCATGGAATACCTGTCCAGTCATTTCTTTGTCCACAAGGACCTTGCAGCTCGCAATATTTTAATCGGAGAGCAACTTCATGTAAAGATTTCAGACCTTGGGCTTTCCAGAGAAATATACTCCGCCGATTACTACAGGGTGCAGAGTAAGTCTTTGCTGCCCATTCGCTGGATGCCCCCAGAAGCCATCATGTATGGCAAATTCTCTTCCGATTCAGATATCTGGTCTTTTGGGGTTGTCTTGTGGGAGATTTTCAGCTTTGGGCTCCAGCCATATTACGGATTTAGTAACCAGGAAGTGATTGAAATGGTGAGAAAACGACAGCTGTTGCCATGCTCCGAAGACTGCCCACCCAGGATGTACAACCTCATGACAGAGTGCTGGAATGAGATTCCCTCCAGGAGACCAAGATTTAAAGATATTCACGTCCGACTTCGGTCCTGGGAGGGACTCTCAAGTCACACCAGCTCCACTACTCCTTCGGGAGGAAATGCCACCACGCAGACCACCTCCCTTAGTGCCAGCCCCGTGAGTAATCTCAGTAACCCTAGATATCCCAATTATATGTTCCCGAGCCAGGGTATTACACCACAGGGCCAGATCGCGGGGTTCATTGGCCCACCGATACCTCAGAACCAGAGATTCATCCCCATCAATGGATACCCAATACCTCCTGGATATGCAGCATTTCCAGCTGCCCACTATCAGCCAACAGGTCCTCCCAGAGTGATTCAGCACTGCCCACCTCCCAAGAGCCGGTCCCCGAGCAGTGCCAGTGGGTCGACTAGCACTGGCCACGTGACCAGCTTGCCCTCGTCGGGATCCAATCAGGAAGCAAATATTCCTTTACTACCACACATGTCAATTCCAAATCATCCCGGTGGAATGGGTATCACCGTTTTTGGCAACAAATCTCAAAAACCTTACAAAATAGACTCAAAGCAACCATCTTTGCTAGGAGACTCCAATATTCACGGACACACCGAATCTATGATTTCTGCAGAATTATAAAATGCACAACTTGTTGTAAATGTGGTACACAGGAAAAACTAGAAAGCCGTAGAAAAGATTTATATTCAGATATTTTTATTAAAGTAAGGTTCTCATGTAGCAGATATTGCAACAAGTATCTTCTGTGAAGTTTGATTGTGTCTTACCAAGCAGGGCAGACACCAGCCAGAAAGAAACATTGTGGGACTCAGGCCTCATCAGGGTGCATGCCGCGGCACTGACTGGGATTCGTACAACTGGTTGCAAGTACTGAAACCTGCAGATCGGCGAAGAGGAAAAGATCCTTGTGATTAAGCATCAAACCAAAAAGGAAAGTCAAATGGTGCTTTGTGTATTTCACCTTCGGTCACCATGACTGGTCTCTCCCCAAAATGTATATACCGTAGTGTTTGTCTACCTGCTGTCTTTTCTTCAGGACATATATTCAGGAATTTTGTTGATTCAATTTAGACTCTATGCATCTTTGTATGGAAGTGATGTTCAGAATCAATGAGGAAACTTTAGACCAAATTTGAAATCCCAGATGGAAATGAGCCATAAGACCAGTGTAAGTTCCCCTGAAGCCTTCTGCGCAGCGGGGCTTCTTGGGAAGGTGCAGAGTGTGGCTCTCTGTGAATCTCCTCTGCTGATCATGAAGGCCTTTGCTACATTTTCTTTTTCCACAGTGTGTTTACACAAGCCCTTGAAATAACATAGGACGTCAGACCATAAGAAGGCTAGATGTGGATGTGGGAGTTGATTATTGGTTGATAGTGATAGTTTATTTTGTTGCATTAGAAATGAGACACCAAAGGAAGCACAGTCAGGAAAATGGCCCCTCGGCCTAGATCAGCATCCATGGGAGAGGAACAAGGGTTCCCGTGGGGACAGCCTTGCGGGAGCTTCCCTGGCCTGATAACATTGACCAGTAGAGGTGTGGCTGCAGACCAGCACATGGATGCTTGCAACTTCCTGCTGTGAGTTGTTCAGTGGACTCTGGGGACGTAGGAAACTCTATGACACCAATGTCTAGTTAATTTAAAGTTTCTCTCACTCTTTTTGTTTCTGATCGGGAAATATTCACAGATTTTATTTCAGCACCAAGAGTTATGACATTTTGTTCATAAGATTAGTTGGAATCCAAAGACTATGAGTTCTGTTTTGTAAAATATTACAGTATTTTTAAAACACAAGTACTGAGTTCTCACTTCAAAGATTACTACGAACTGAATTTTTTAAACTGATAAATAGAAGCAACATGATCATTTTGGCCTTAGTTAGAGGGAGGCATCAAATGTGCATCTCATATGCCATTTACCTGCTAGCCATCGTGTGCCAAGTGTAGAATTCCTATGGGTGGGTTTCGGGTTCTACATAGGAAGGAATGTTATGGTTGATTTTTCTCTTGTTATAAAACAACTCTTGTTATAAAACAACTATTTTATTCTAAGAACAATGTCTCCAAGTCTCATTTTTAAAAATTTTACAGCTAAAGAGACTTATAAAGAGACTTACTGGACGTAAAGTAATTCCTGGAAATGATATTTGATGAGGAAAACATAAGAATTAGAAGCACATTGATGTTTCAGTTTTTAAAAAAATACAGTTAGGATGAGAAATCAAGGGAATGTGTTTACCAAAATAGGTTGCTATTTTCCCAAACATTGAATCTTCAAACAGCAAACATGGACTTACAGGTACTGTGAACTTAAAGAATTGACTATATTCAAATTTATTCAGAGATAAATTAAGACATACTTTTGTGGCATAAATAAGCTGATTCAGAGTTACATTTCTTAACTTTAGGTAGAGGAGAGTATTTGTATCCTTTTGTTGCTATGCAACTGTTTAATGATGAAGATTCAAACCACAATTTTGTATATCATACGACAATCAATTGCTTTCCAAGAATATTTATTATTTTAAGTAAACACAATTTCAGTGAATCTGAGTTTTTCTAGGAGTCCCTTAAAGGGAAATTATCATTCCATGAGCCAGTGAAATACCTACTCTGGAAAAACATTGCTATGGTTTAAAAAATAAATTCAAGTTAGTTTTTTATAAAGAACTATAACATTTATTTTAAACATTTTATAATTACTGAAGTCATTACGGTGAGCAAACTAAATTTCAAAACCACTTGTAATAATGTATTTTATAATAGCACTGTGATACTACATAACACAGTACCTTTTGTATTAAAATCGTATTTTTTTTCACAAACTGAAAATATCTTTTGCTTTATTGGCAGTGTTTTTTGTTTTTTTTGTTTTGTAAGATGACTTTATTTTCAGATCTTTTCTTTTTTGCACAAAACTATTGTTTATGGTTTGTATCACAGAAGTGAAAATATATCTTTGCATTTTTATATCTGGTCTGTTTCCTTGTTTCCTTTGTTTATTTGTTTTTAACTTGATATAGATTTTCTTCAAATATATAATGGCAATATTCAGATGTCTTGCCCTACGTTATCTTTTCTTATTTTCACTGCATGCATTTAATCACTGTATTACTTAATGTTTGATTTGTTATTATGGGCATTTAAAATAGACAAGCATGGAATTGTAATGACAAAAAAGGCTATTTTATATTGAGGATATATGCATTTGTATTTCACACACCAGAGATGATATTAAACACTGATTATTTTATGCTGCTGTTTATTAAAAATGTTTACCATAAAATATTATTTCCTGAATATTGCTATCATGGAGATATTTGGGAATTTTAATACTCTTTCTCCTAATGATTGACATTTCATAGAAAGAGAATCATAATTCCTATTTACTGGTATTTCATTGAAATACTTTTTTAAAAATAGGCTTTTAAAAAATAGCCTTGGGCATTCTTTTGCTAGTGACCATAGGAGGAAGGGAGAATCCCAGTGATTTCATGAGCATATATTATCCCCCCTATATATGGCAAGATTTTAATTTTTAAAATCAAAATAATACATTAAGTAAATACAATCAAATGGAATGTAAAAATTGGGTTTAAAAGTTGCATTCTTTTCTGCCTTGATGCTTCCACGTGAACTTAGGCATCAACAATCATGTTTTAGTTCCCTGCATACGTCTTCTGTTCCACTTAGAGTCCAGCCCTATGGGTAAAACGAACGCGGCCCTTTAATTGTCACAGCTTACCTTTATGACCTTATTTGCCCAAAAGAATGAGTTCCCCATCTGGTGATTAATACACACTGTCAAGGAAAATGAGTACCGTTATGAAAGTTCAAAGAACTTGTCCATTTCTTCTCTTTAATACAGAAGGGACCACAATAAAACCTTCAGGGCCGTATCCATCTGTTTTAGGTACAGCTCTTGTCACCACCTTAGCCATCAAACTCAACGAAGTAATCACTTCACATGGCAGAGAGATGGTGTCAGGCTGGGTTTCTCCCTCTCACTTGAATCCCTCAATCTGCCTTTCACTCCCATTTCCTTCTTATGTCTCTGTAGGCTCTTCCCTCCCACCATCCCCAATCCCTTCAACTCTGTGACTTGAGCCTTACCCATAACTCCCTAATCACCAGCATCTGCCAACTTGCAGCACCGCCCCGGACAAGGCCTACTGCAAATCACTAAGAACTGACTGCAGAGGAGTTGTATTGTCTACGCACCTTCCAAGATACTTCGCTATCCCAGTGGTTCTCAAAGTGTGGGCCTCAGACCAGCCGACCTTGGAGCTTGTTAGAAATGCAGGTTCTCAGGCCCCGCTTCGAAGTACTGAATCAAATTCTGGGGTGGGACCCAGCCATGTGTGCTTTACGAGCCCTCTGGTGTTAGAAAGACTGAGAATCAGAACCACCCTAATTCAAAGGCATGGGGGTGGAGGGTGGGAAGATGGTCATTACATCCTTAGTAATGTGTATAGATGAGCATTTAATAACATTTTAGCCACTTCTTAAAGGAAATCAAGTTTGACTTAATCACAAATTCAGCAGTAAAAACTTTGTATTAACGATTTGACAGTTGATTATATTTTTTTTGCAGTTGTTCACACGGATCGAAAACCAACAGCACCTAACTTTTGTCGAGAATATATTCCTTGTCTAGTTCACTCAAGACCCACATTCTGGGATAGTCACCAAAATCTTTTTCCTTCATATGGACAAGCTCAAAAGTGTTGGTCTTTTAGTGTACCTTTTTTTTTTTATTCCTTGCACTGACTATTAACACCACAAAGAGAACTCTCCTCTCTGTTGCAGCTTGACAAAATTAAGGTCAAGGATAGGCTGGGCTTTCTCGGGAGGAGGAGAAGACGCAGCTCTCAGCATCCAGGAGAAGCCGCTGCAGAGGCTCCCCATGCTCCTGAGCTTTCTGGGACAGCCTGGCCCCGTTGGCTGGATACAGTCACCTGGGGTTTGTCCCACCGTGTCCCTTTGCCAGCTGCAGTCCATCCGTCCTCACTGGCTGGCCCGGGGAGCTCCTCTGCTCAGGTGGTGCTCCCCACTGCCTTTAGAGGACAGCAAGAGGGATCTAAGGGAGGTGCAAGAGGAGATGCTTCTTAATGTATAGTGAGTGCTATTCTTCAACCAACAGTTCAGATGCTAAGGCGAAAATGCTATGTAAGAGGAGCAGGAGCAATGGAGCACACACACAAGGGACATTTTTGTAGCCAAAGTATGACCTCACCTGAGGTTTGTTACCATAAATACCAAAGTATTAGGACACTTAACTCAGAGGAAGGAGAGACTTACATACCATCAAAGCTCTCAAGGTCAGTGTAATCCTCTGGGCAATTAGGCTGAGCAGACTTAAAAACAGACATACAGGGAGAAGGTCTGCTGACATATTTATGACTGGTTGAATCCTAAGCACCTATGAATTGCTTATTCACAAACAAGTACTAGAACGTTTGCTGACCAGGCCTGACGCATGCTTTTCCTTAGCAAAGTGACCAGGTTAGTAAATATTTTTATGCAGGAATGTTTACATTAGGAGAACAACCCCTGCTTTAAAATTAGATGGGATAGTACGTACATTTTTTAAAGGGTATCTTTTGTGCTGAAATAAAGATAATTCGGAATATTCAGTTTGGAGGAAAGTGTCAGTCTTCATGGACCTGTGTTCTTGGTTGTAAATTCAAAGACACACAAAACAGCGGAAGCAGCTGCAGAAAGCCATCGATGACGCTCCAGCTCCGCCCAGACAGAGGCACTTGGAACTTGCTTCAGAAATGGGTCAAGGT